TTTTGGATCCTGTAGTGCGAGAACGGATAACTCCTATGCCCCGTTCCCCCCTTTTTGTGTACACACCGCCGGCAGAAGGTAACAATCTTTCGTTGCGGAAGATTTCCGGGAAGGACGACCCAAACCTCGTCCCTCAGCCGAAGTTAAAAAGCCCCTCTCTGCAGCGAGGAGGCCGAGTCTGCGCCAGCCAGCCCCGAGGCCGCGCCACCGAGAGCCAGCAGCTACTCGAGGACCGAGTGATTCCTACCACTGGAACCAGACCCTACCGAACGAAGCTTCTACAAGTAAGAGTTACTGGTATCTGGGCCTAGCTTAGCTTAGCATTAGCTTAATTTAGCCTATTCGTTATGTCGTTGTTATTCCTGTATCTTGTTACGTTAAGTTACTGTCGTGTTATAACGTGTTATTGCGCAAGCATCGCGGACCACGGAGTCCCGTTATATTGTGTATTTCCTGCTGTAACTGTTTACATTAGATCCGTCGCTGCTAGTGGATGTGGAGGTTGTGATTTTATCACTTCAAAGACCAAAACCACGGTGGCGGAGCCTCGTCTCGCCGACCGAGTTTCGGGGTGATAGGAGAGCAATACTCGCATCTCACCGCAGTGATAAAGATCTGTTTTGTTTTGGGGATTATTTTATTTTGTTTGGTTTTATTCTCTCTTCTTTAAATCGGCTCTGTGAGTGAGATTGAGAACCGCAACTATCACCGTACAAGCGTGACCGGTCGGTTCAGAATCCGACCGCAGAGTTTACGAGTGATCAGCTGTTCCTCACATTCTCACTGCAGCGCCGAGCACCGCGCTCAGAGCTCTCGCTCTCTCTCCCTCTCTTCTTACTAACCCGCACACACATAGTTAGATTCACTGATTTTGGGTGAACCTCTCAGACACGTGGTCGCGTAATCTATTGTCCCAACCCACATTGTGCGCCGTCCCACGTGGTTACACGTAGCCACCTCTCAGCAATCTTGTCGCGGGTCCCTAGACTCCGCCATCTTTGCTTGTAGGCTCACACGCCCCTTTTTAGGTTACGTACCATCACTGTTTAAGTAGCCCCCCCTTCGTTTCCACACACACACACACACACACACACACACGTGTATATATATATATATGTCTATATACATATCCTTACCCCACTTTATTCATTTGACTTTAGGTATTAGACATATAATTGTATGATAGTGTTTGTTGATTTTGATATTACTTGATTTGATCATTTATTATTTTATTTAATAAACTCTGTTATATTTTAAAGAGCAGTTGTCTGTGATTACTCGTGTATATGTGTGTAATAATAACTGGATGTAGTGGCCTGTGCTCGAACTTAAACCTTCACTCTCACTCTGAATGTGTAATAGTACTCAGACTATTGACATTATGAGTGAACACTAATTATGAGACTTAGTTTTATTGTTTGGTTATTGGTCCCTGTTCGCAGGGTGGTGCCCCGTTATTATTAATAATCATTAATAATTGTTACTGACATTAATAATTCTATTGATGTCAAGAATTTAGTTTCTTAGATGCTGATAACCCAAACACGCTCCTCTACGTTCCCAACAATACCATGTGCACCAAGACTACATACAGCTGAAAAATGGACAAAGAAAGTACCCGTCTGAAAATGCATGTTGTTATGTTGTTGAAAACTAAATAAAAAGTGAGTTAAAAAAAAAAAAAAAAAGGATACAAGTAGCATTTAACCAACAGAGGTTAGTCCTCCCGGTTTGATCATTATAGTCGTTTAGTGTTGCCTCCCTGATGTCGACTGTATGAAGTTAAAACGTGTTGTCACATTACCTTCAACGTTATTGTAGTAGACACATGACCTGGTGGAAACTTTTCCTCTGCACATGTGGACCTGAAAAACAGGTGATAGCATGGAATCCACAACAAGGCATGTAATGAAATCTGTACACATGGGTTCAATACCCCCTTTCTCCCTCCAATGCCAGAACAACAACTTTCCATGTCTTCTTAGAGACCCCAAAGCCCCAGACTACTCCCCCATTCTGACTATTCTCCCAGCTCACCATTTCTGCTTAGAATCTCAACAACACGGACAATGAGCTGGGAGAAATGTGGAGGATTCTTTAGGACAGGTCAGCTGACACAGGACCCAAAACAAGGGTATTTGCATGTAATCTTACAGCGTGAACAAGTGTAATAGTTTGCTCACCTTGACATGGTTGCTCTCCTGTCGCATCACTTCCTGGTTGATACACAGCTGCTCTCTTGATCCCAGCACACACACCTTTGGACTGAATCAGCAGAGAGAGAGATTTTGTACGTCAGAAAAAGGCACTGCACTAACAAAAGGCTTTACTTGCATGAAGTGCATCTTGTACCGTTTGGAACCACATTGTTTACCTGTATGAGGTGTTCTTTAGCTCACTGATAACCTGTGCCAGCTGAGAGTGAGTCCTGGAAGCGTATATGATCTTGGGAATATCTGTGTAGTAGGCTGAGAAACAATAACAGCACATAATAATTACATGAGAGTTACATGAATACCATAGAGAGCAAAGCCACTTCCCTTCTGATGAGAAACAAAGCGGTTTTGATCCTGTTTGAATTGTGCCATGAATTACACATATGATGTTTGTGAACTTAAAAGATAATTCTGGACGTCAACAAAGTTGCAGTTATATTACAGACATATATTTCACCTGAAGGGGAGGGGCACTGCCTCTCTATAGTGATGGAGAGGTTAGGTCAGCAGCTGATTCTTTCTAAAGACTATACTGGTATGAGCAACTCTGTCCCCATGATGTTAGTGCAGGATTAAAGCACCCAGCAGAGACCTGGGATGATGTGAAAAGTAGGCTCGTTCGAGATGAATCGATCACCGGTGATCTCCGCACAATACATGCTGGTTAGATTTGTCCGACTTGATCCCAACTTTCTCTGATGTCATGAACACATGGGCAACGATAACCTCACGAGAGCGAGGCGATGCAGTCGGCTGTGTGTGTCGTTCTGTTTACCTGCTTACATCGCTGCAGACACACCTTGTGGAGAGCTGGTTTGCAGTTGCTAACACTGTACACTGAGTCAGGTGATGTATGAGCTCAACAGTTCAAAACTCATTGTTGTGTTTACATGTATTAACCCAATACTGGATCCTGAAGAAGACAGCCCCTGACACTGTAGACTGCACTGAGCCACCTGGTAATATGATGTGAACATACTCGGTGAAAGGATGTGAACATACTCGGTGAAAGGATGTGAACATACTTGGTGTGGCTCCGTCTGTAGCAGCCATCCCCCAGGAGGACATGGGTGTATTGGGGAACATCTCCTCCCCGTTTAACTTCTCTGCTATCTTGCGGGCAGAGATGGTGTCCTTGAAGTGCTCTCTCCAGGCCAGGGTGGCACACAGCAGGCACAGAGTTTTACCAGTACCTGTGGGACTCTCCAGAACCCCATTTTGCTTCTGAAACAAACAGGCACACATGAAGGTTTCATCTTTGAAGAGAGCATCTGCCAAACTCAGCAGATTTTAACTCCTGACAGAGCAAGGATTAAGATGATTCACAAGTCAGATTTTAGGTGATTCTGCCACTTCCAGTGACCTGGAGATCAAGCAGCTGTCAATCAGCTCTTCACTTGTTGTGCTCTGGGGTTTGTTTCGATGACAGATTATTATGGCAGCTAACACTTTTTTAAAGTTGTCCTATGCTCGTTGGAAAAGGCAGCAGCTTCGGCCGTCTATCCCACAGATGACTGTAAATGATGACGGAGCTCTTAGTCCACAAGAAGCAAGAATGACGTCTTTTACAAGTGCAACATAAACGTTACACCAATCTAAACCAATGAGACATTACATGTAGGTTAACCCATGACGGGACTCCGCGTTACCTTTTGAAGACACTCAATCACTTTGCCCATGTAGTCCTTCTGACAGTCATATGGAGGAAAAGGGAAATTCACCGTCACTCCATTCAGAGTTAGTGAAGGCATCGTGAGTGTCCTAGCTTCACTAACAGCTGCAGCATTAACTAACGTAGCGCTAAAAAGGACGCACTATGTGAAAACTGGTCGTGGCTCCAGATTAACTGTCAAACACTTTAAAATGAAGTTAACATTTCATTGTGAACTGAGAAATTGTACTGCTCTACTCTTTGGACATGCCTAAACTTGGCGCCAACTTGCCGATTTCAGGCGCGTCCTGCTCATGCGCGCTTTACCTACGTACTGTGCTGCGTTCAAATACTCCCGGAATAATAAACACAACGTGTTGACACCAGCGTTGGCGCTGAGGAGGCCGGTCTGCTATGTGAGGAGTCTCCCGCAGGAAACATGCAGTTCACTTCTTTAGGCATCGACATTTACGACCCCTCCGGTGCATATTGTCATATCAAAAAAAATATCTGTGCATTAATCTGGTATTCAGGTAACTACGGTCAATTTGTAATTACTTGTTTCCACTTTTATTTTTTTGCTAGTTTTTTAAAACACCAATAACTAAAATTAGCCATCAGCCAAATGCTCAGAAGCACAGACACGTCTATAGTTTCACACAGAGAATACTTAACACTCAGTAGGCTTTCTGATCTTCTGAAGGCTCTGAGACTGGAAGTGCTAACTTGATATAAATATAGACACGGTATACTGAATGCTAGGTATCGGTTATTCATTAGATGTCAGCTTTTCTAATGCAGACAAAAACTACAAAGGTTCTACTTCACCTCCTGCTGTATTGTGCTGGAGCTGTGTCTATAGTGCGTCTGCTATTGTAAGAATTACAGGGGTGGCTATTATTAAGTCATGGCTTAAATATTTTCACAAAGACATTGATAAGATGAATCTCTTCTGTTGCTGTTAAAATTTTACTTGGGAATGTGTGAAACACACATAAATGAAAGTTAAAACATGAGGTCGATATTTTTTTACCCCACCTTCATATAGACTGGAGTAGATGTGTATCTATTAGTCACACTGAAAAGGGTCCAATCACTGCTGTTTAAAGAAGTCACTGTCCACACATAATGACTCAATTCAACAAGTACATCATTTATTCTGTCATAGTGAAATACATTAATCATGAAATAGAGCAGGTGGATGTTGGACATCCTACTCCTCTCCATCTGTGGTCAGAACGATCTTGTGTGGGTCGTAATAGTTCTGGTCTATGAGAGGAAGACCCTCCTTCTCTCTCTGCTGGACCACACGCTCTGCCTCCCTTCTGGCCCACTGCCGCATGCTGGAATGACAGACGAAGAGAGAGAAGGAGGGAGTGAGGAAGAGAAACCTTCAATACTAAACATTAATAATAATAAACCTCAGATTGACTGTTGGGTGGGTGGCCACTTGGGGCTGAAGACCACCACAAAAAGCTTAAAAGCAGGAATAAATAAGCAACAATCAATGCTAAAAAAAAACGAGAGACAGTCAGTGCGACTACTGACACTGGCAAGCGTGTGGCTAGTCAGTGGCAAGCGTCAGTCAGGTGTCAGGACTGTGGCACGTCAGTGGCTAGTCAGTGACTAGTCAGTCAGGTGTCACAACAGCGGCAAGCGAGCGGCACTCGTTCGGCACCCGTCAAGAAGCTGCCGAGCTGAGCGGGCGGGGCCACATTTCCTGAGAACACCCATTGTTGTTACGATTGGATTTTGATTAAACTATATTATTAACTGTATTGCATCAAACCATCCACAGATTAATCGAAAACTTGATTCTTGCTGTGTACATGGATAAATGAATATTAAATCGCATGTAGTCAACTATTGTTGCTAACATACTCACATTGGCCCACGTTTATTTATTTATATTTATTTATTTTTCTTCTAATGTTACCCTGGTATGTGCTATAGACAAACAGTTTTCTTGCATACGGTCGGTCATTCTATTGCCTTGACTTTTATTTTGACTTTTTTTTTTTTTTTTTTTTTTTTTTTACTATCGGACTACCTGTCTTGCTTTGCGTCGTTCAAAAGAAAAAACAAATAAACCATAAAACAGACTATTAAAACGTACACAGACCAGGGGGCACACTCCTCTGACTATTGGCACTGGCAGCTACTGACACCTACATCTAAGCAGAGGAAGAGTGAAGATATTTTCAGACATGTATTTTTGGATTGGACTTTTTATGGGTTTTAACTTTAAAACGTTTTTATATATATACTTTTAAATGATAATAAAACGGATGATTTATTTTCATTATTTTATCCGATTGTTGTAAATAACTATAAAAGCAATAATTTGGAAAGAGTGTATTATGTTCCCTTTTGTTTCAAAACCAACAAAATCATACTTAAATAAAATGAATGGGAAACAAAAAAGTACAGCGTGGTTACTCTCAGGATGTATACAGAGAACGGGTGGCTCAGGTGACTTAACTAAAATCCATACAATGATGATAAAACTGATTTACGGCAGCTGACCAATCGTAACAACAATGGGTGTTCTCAGAAAATGTGGCTCCGCCCACTCAGCTCGGCAGCTTCTTGACGGGTGCCAAACGAGTGCTGCTCGCTTGCCGCTGTTGTGACACCTGACTGACGCTTGCCACTGACTAGTCACTGTGGTGCCAGTGTCACAAGGAGGATCTCGGCCTAAAAAAACATCTTCTGGTACTATGTATTAAAAATGTCAAAACACAGTTAATCTGCTTTATCAGGACCATGTGATGAGTGTCGAGTCTGCTTTTGAAACATGTAGTCAGGTGATGTAGTCAAGTATTTTCTGTACCAAAAAAACATTTAAAAAAAAAAAAAAGAGCATGACACTTTCACCCTGTCCTTTAACAGAAAACCATGGCTCAGCAGACCCATCATTGTATCACACACATCATCTCATATTTGACAGCAAAAATGGTAGCAGATGTGAGAACTCACCCGTGGTCTGGTAAATAGTGGATAAACGTTCCCCCAATAACGAGAGCCACTGAGATGCCGAAGAAGAAGCCCACCCTCATGTTCCACTCATCCACCACAGGGTCACTGGAGAAGCCATGGTAATCTGGATTCTGACAATTACAGAGGAGGGGCATCAGCTACAGCAGCCATTCCCAAACACTTGGTCGGGACCCACAGGTGGGTCGCAGGAGATTGTATACAGGTTGCCAAATAAAAGTGAAGACATTTATTCCATAGTCTTTCATTTAACATTTCTTTCTGCAGTACACTTTTGAGCCACACGAGGGAGTCTGAACGTTCGTGTTCTTCTAATTGTAATCTACTCATTAAATATAGACTGATATGAAAGACTAGTGTACATTCTGTTTGTTGAACTGATGAGAGGAAATGAAGACTCTACCTAATGAATTTAGTTGGTCTCATTTATAAAGTATTTCACATGTTTATATCATATACGTTTTCAATAATTAAACAAAGTTGTGATTTATCAAACATACATCTCTTCTAAATGGCTGGTTTACCTTTTCAAAGTATATATAAGATGATGAGGAAATGGCAATGAAGATGATCAGGAATGTTCATTTACAGACAAATTCTCTCTTCCCCTGATTATTATTATTATTATTATTATTATAGATAAGGCCTGTTGTGAATTGGGTTGCAATGACTTGTCATCGTTAAAAAGTGTATCCCCAGAAAAAAAGTTTGGGAAACAGATACAGTACAGACCTTCATAAATCAGCCACTTGTTCCCAGAGGAGCCATAATAATTTGAACGACTGTCATTTGAGTGTTATCAAAGTGACTGTATCTAGAAGACCCGACTGATACTTAGTCAATTTCCATACTCACTACAGCAACACAGGAATAGTCTTAACAAGTTTACTGACTAGTACTATTAGAGAAGGCGACAAGAAGATTTTCAACATGCGGAATATTGTCAGACTAATGTAAAGTCAATCATAAATCCACGGAAAAATCCAACACCTGTGAATCTGCCTGGTGCATGCAGTGTGTGCTACACGGCTGAGATTGAATATAATGGCTGAATAAAAATGTCTGGACATCCCCTCCACTTACTGACTCGGACTCAAACGGGTCCATTCCTGAGAGTGCAGGGACTCAAGCACACTTTTCTGCAGACTTCAATTAGGAAGATTACACATAATACATTGTATATCATTGTGACAGTGTAAAATTAATCAATAATGTTAATAGTACAAATACAATAACTGACATCTGTCTTTTTAAACATTCAATGTAAATGTGTATAGATGTTGTGAGGATTGATAATGCACACATCTACCAGCACAACACATAACAGTCGTGTACATATACCAAACTACCGTAGCCGTGCATGTCTCTCTCTCTCTTTGCTGTGTTCTGCTGCAAACTGTACCTCAACCAAATATTGACGGGAAGGGGGTCATTTTATGTTTGAAATTAATTTAGTGCGTGTACTTCATGTAGTGTTGTTAATGGCGTCAGTTCCATTCAACAATAAAACGCATCACTGTTACATTAAAATAAAAGCATGTTTCAGGCTCAGCTTGTTTGGACTCAGTACCTGGATGAATAAAGATGAGTCTGCTTTAATCTAGCTGCATTAGTAAATTTGTGATGTGATCAGTGTACGACTCTTATGCCTGTACGTGTCAGAAGCACAGACCACTCTGATAGTCGTAAACAACCTAAAGCTACGAACGCTGAACATGTAAGTTGCTGATGTACACAAACGTGTGTGTAGCTCAAGCTAGCTAATGTTACCTAGCTCATACGTTTCTCTGCGGATCCAACATTAGGTATTTTAGAGTAACAGCATTTTTTTATTGTCAGTCTAGTAACCACCGTCTGCATGTCTGCGTACATGACATAAAGCTAAACTTTATTCGGTTAGTAAACGTTTACGAAGACTAAATGATCGTACGACGGAGAGAAACTCACCTTGACATACGGGCTGACCTCACTGTGTCCAGTCTTCTCCGCGGCTGGGTGGAGCTCCGTCACGGCGGTTGAACCAGCAGCACCGGTCGGTTTTGACTGGGAGATGAACCGGGCCGGTGGATTTGAGAGTAACCGGGGCAAAGCGGGCCCGAACCGCGACAGTCGGGTCAACATTTCACCTGTTTGTGAAGGATTGTAATGACCCGGAACCGGAAACAAAAGGTTAAGTCCTCTTCTTCTTAATTTCCTCAAAGTTAAAGGGAGTATTACTGCCACTAGGAGGTGGTCGATGGTAATGTACCCTCAGGAATCTGATGTAGATGTAACAAGCCATTTAAATTGCTTTTCTATAGTCTATGTGGTGAAACAGAGTCAACATGTTATACTAAATAAATATATTGTAGGCTACTGACCAGAATTCCAGTCTTTAGTCAGGTTTTCAGTATCATCCATAGTGCAGACTGACTTCTGTTCCTGGTGTGGTGGACTCTCGCTCAGGTCTAATAATAATAATAATAATAATAAATTTTATTTATATAGCGCTTTTCAGAGTACTCAAAGACACTTTACATTAAAATCATTATATATAAAAGCAATACACTAAAAACATAAAATACACAATATCGGTCACACATTAAAAGCAATTTTGAACAGGTGGGTTTTGATTTGAGATTTGAATGTGGAAAGGTCAGTGCAGTCTCAGATATGTTTGGGGAGAGAGTTCCAGAGGGAGGGGGCAGATATGGAGAAGGCTCTGTCACCCCATGTCCGGTGCTTGGTCCTGAGTGGAAGAGACAGGAGGTTGGCATCAGAGGAGAGAAGCCGACAGGATGGAGTGTGGTGGTGAAGCAGGTCGGTGAGGTAGGAGGGGGCCTGATTATGGAGGGCTTTGTGAGTGAGGAGAAGGATTTTGTATTCAATCCGTTGTGGGACGGGGAGCCAGTGGAGGTTCTGGAGAACAGGGGTGATGTGGTCATGGGAGCGGGTGTGGGTGAGCAGGCGAGCAGCAGAGTTCTGAATGTACTGGAGTTTATTTAGGATATTGGATGATGTGCCGTGAAGAATGCTGTTGCAGTAGTCAATTCTGGAGGTGATGATGGTGTGGATCAGAGTTTCAGCAGCAGATGAGGAGAGTGATGGGCGGAGACGGGCTATGTTTTTTTAAGTGGAAAAAGGCAGTTCTGGCGATTTGTTTGACGTGGTGTTCAAAGGAGAGGTTGCTGTCGAACATGACATGTCCAAGGTTGCGGATGTGTGGGGAGGGAGACAGAGTGGAGTTGTCGATGGTGAGGCAGAAGTTGTGACTGGTTTTGTTGAGGGATTTGGGACCAATGATGATGATGTCAGATTTATCACATTTCAGTTTGAGGAAGTTGGTTTGCATCCATGATTTAATGTCAGTGAGGCAGCTGGTGAGAGTGGAGTGAGTTGCAGTGGTAATGGCCTTGGTAAGGTCTGCCCAAGAACTGGCTAATTGCCATATAATATATAACAATATTCATGGTCCCCAGAGGATTATTCAAAATGTTGGTCTTTGTTGTAGCCTTACTGTCAGGACAACATGTGAAGTAGTAGAACAAGTACTGAAGATTCAGAAAGACCGTGAACGGACTCGGTAATATCAGTTATGCAGTAATATTTATCTTAACTGACATTAGCAAACCATGAGCCACACTAAGTAAAACTGTAGCAGCTAAATACCTAAGTGAACTGATCTGAACAAGAGTGTGGTATTGATGATTTCCTGCTCCACGTTATATAGTCTGATCTGTTCTATAGAATCTATAGTTTATATATAGACCATCAGGGAGCGTCGTGAAGGTCATGGCGATGCTAATCCCAGCAGGTGCTTGCTACACCATGTTACACAGACATCATTGGCATCGTCAAACATTTTCAATATTTCATATTTAAACTGAAAACATTAAATGAACACAGATAAGTCATTCAAGTCATCATGTCTCAAGTCAAGTCTGAAGTCATTTGTTTTATGTCAAGTTGCAAATTGCAATTCATGAAAACAGGGACTCAATTCGACCCGAGTCCAAGTCCCAATGACTCAAGCTCACATCTCTGATTATTAGCAACACCATATCTCCAAATTATACACTGTTGTCAACCTTTCATTCAATTGAAAAACACAATCATCCTTCACCCAATCGGTTGCATTGATTATTTATTTGTGTCCAATATACAATCTGTAACATTGTTGGGTAATGTACGATTAAAAAGTTTAACTTTTGTGCACATATATCATTCATTTAATGAGACAAATAAATATTTTTGTAAATGCACATGTTGCTAGCTCATAGTCCAGCTAGTCCAGATACTTCAGTTCTTCTTAAATATGCTACTAAATACTGATATACAAAAGGAGGCCAAACTAAATGTAAGAGTAAGAACCATAATAATCATAAGGGTCTTTCCAAAGACATGATAATTACTTTAGTTTCTGCTTAAAACAGAAGCAAGTTTGTCAAAGAGGGGTTTCCCAATTAGGAGTGGTCATCACACTTCCTGTTCAGCCTTCTGCATTACAGACTACTGAGAAAATACAATATAAGCCACTCAAAACCATGAATAAAGCCTTACAGGTAAACAATGCTGCGAAAAGCAAATAAACAAATTTGACAATATTAACATACATTCCCAAACTTTGTTCTGGTGCACCATGTTACAATGAGCTGGGAGATTTGGGGGGATTATCACAACTCATCTCAAGATTTATTAACACATAATTTATGTTTATGATTCTGATATTCTCTCTAAAATGCTACAACCCTGCCCTGCGTCTCATCTACATTAACTAATCCACATCATAGTGCACGACAAATATTGTCAACATTTTCATACCTCGAAAAGAAACAGACAAACAAAAACTACTACTATTGTTCAACATGAGCATACCGTTGTTGACTGGACGCTTTCTTGCATTACAAGATTAATTTGTATGAATTTTTAACATTTGAGGACGCTGCAGCGTGAGCCAACCAGTGGGGCACGTTCACATGCACTAAAAAACAAGCACTGCAGGCAAGCAGGGAGCAGCTCTGATGACAACACACACTAAGGGAGCGTCGGCTTCATTACTAGTTCACTGTTACGTTCCCCGTTCTGGCATCTAAGGGGTGCCGGGAGTAACGGTGTTATTTACCCGAGGAAAGAGAGACTGAGCAACGATGACGGTTAACAAAAAGGGTATTTATTATAAAAGGGCTAGCTGCTTGCACGGCAGCAAAAGAAAACTACTTTCTTATAAAAAGAAAGCGACACTAGACATACAACAGCCCACACGGCTGGAACAAAGGTGCAACAATGGTCCACCACTACGCGTTGCCCAAGGGTTGTCAGCTCATGCACACAGCCTCACTACTGTGGTCTGCCCCAAGAGATCGTCCTCCTTCTTCTTCTTCTTGTTTGAGGTTTATTGGCGGTTGGCAAACAATGAATTAGTGCATTACCGCCACCAACTGGTATGGAGTGTGGATATATACAAGATTAAATTCAAAAGGAAAAGAAAAAAGAAACAAAACAAAACGAGCTCATATTTTCGTAATAATATTAATTAATCTAAGATATTGAAATAATACTTGATAACACTCACTTTTTGAGTTATTTTGCAGAATATCCACTATATCCAACTGTACCTTCATCTTGCCGAGATCTCCAATCAGCTGCCCTCTTTCCTGCTCATATTTCTGACATTGTACAATTACATGCTCTATTGTTTCCTCTTGCTCACAATAGTCACATTTTCCTGTTTACCTATTTTTTGAAGCATATCGTTTAGGCCTGTATGTCCAAATCTAAGCCTTGATATCACCGTTTCCTCTCTCCTGTTCCTTCCTGCACATCTCATTTCTCCCACTTTCCTCTGAACTCGGTAAAACCATCGTCCTTTCCTGTCTTCTTCCCATTGCTTCTGCCACCTTTCCTTCAACCTCTGTTTAATGATACTTTTTGTTTCTGATTTACTGAAGCTGACTGCAACATTAATACAACTATTTTTTGTGGCCTCTTTTGCAGCTTTATCTGCCATCTCATTTCCTATGACCCCAATATGTGCTGGTACCCATAGGAATATGACTGTCAGACCCATCATTTGAATTTTGTATAATGTTTGTTGTATTTCTATTAGGATGTCTGGTCTACTGTCTGAATGGCTGTTCTGTAAGTTGGCGAATGATGAACTTGAATCTGAACAAATGATTGTCCTCAATGGTCTTGTGTCCTCTATTCACTGTAGTGCTGACATTATTGCCAGCATTTCCCCTGTGTACACTGATAGTCCCTCAGTGATCATTTTCCCTATTTTAATATTAAATTCTGGGACAATAAATGCCAATCCTACCTTGTTTCCTAAATTATTTGATGCATCTGTAAAAACCTGGATATAACTGTGGTAACTGTCGATATGTGCCTGTATTGTATGCCAATTGAAATGATCTGCTCTACCCTTGTTATTCTTTTTTAATAATGTAAAGTCTACTGTTGCATTAGGATGTATCCACGGTGCTATTGTTGGTAATGGGACTGTTGGACTGAAGTTTAATTTATGCCAAGTTCTGTTGCTTTCTGTGCTACTGTCCAGCCAAAGCTTATTGTCTCCCTCTTCTCCTTTTCCCAGCAAGGTTCTAACATTTCCTGTGTTGGATGTTCTTCACTGTGTCCCTGTAGATTTGCCCAATAACTCAATGCTAACTGTGTTCTTTGTAGCTCTAGCGGCATTTCACCCATTTCCACCTGTAATGCAGCCGTTGGGGTTGTTTTAAAGGCACCGGTGCATATTGTTAATGCCTGATATTGAATAATATCCAGTTTTTTAAGAGATGTGCTTGCTGCTGATCCATACACCACACACCCATAATCTAATGCAGAACTAATTAATCCACTGTATATGGCTTTCAAAGCAGTTCTATCTACCCCCCATTCACTTCCCACCAAACACCTCATTATATTTAATACTTTTTTACATTTATTCTCTACTTTATTAATATGTACAGCCCATGTGATCCTTTCGTCAAACCACAAACCTAAATATTTAAAGTGTTTTACTCTCTCCAATTCATGATTATCTAGTTCTAGTTTTACTTCACTACAAATGTGTCTCCTTGTAAAGAACATCGTCTTTGTCTTATCTACTGAGAATTTAAAACCCCATTTATATGACCACTCTTCTACCTTCAAAATGGCTCTCTGCAGTTTCTTTACTATGTATT